AGGTCCCAAGCCCGAGAAAAGAATTTTTAAAGAAAATTATTTGCTGGAAAATTATAAAGGTTTTAAAAAGTGTATTAATGCAATTTCTTGATGGTATCGAGCCCGTATCTTGGTTCCGGAGCCCGGTACAATTTTAGAATAATAATTTGGTTGAGTCTATGGAATTTGGTAAGAATGGGAAGCAGTTTGGTATAAAACGGACCTATAGTTGAGAGAAAATAGAAATTTCAATGTTCTTGAGTGATTTCATGAATTTGAGATTTAATTCATAGTTGTTGATGTTGTTTTGATGATTTGATCACACGAGCAAGTCTGTATGATATTTTTAGACTTGCGTGCATGATTAGTTTGGAGCCCCGAGAGCTCGGATGATTTTTGGATAGGCCATGGAGTGAATTTAGACTTAGAACATAACTGTTGCAGGTTCAGAGAAGTTGCATGTCTCTGAAATGGGCTTCGCGGGTTCGCAGTGAAACATCGCGACCATGGTGGGGTCTTCGCGACTGCGCTGGAGCTCCGCGGTCGCGGTCCTTTTTATGCAGTCAGTGGTGGGGGTCTGAGAGGGGTATATATAAACGAGACTTTTCAGCCATTTTTCATTTTTCATTTTTCAAAACCCTAAAACATAAGAGGCGATTTCTCAACACACTCTTTCTTCCCCAAAACACAAGTAAGTGATTTTTAACTCATTTCTTTCACTCCTTAACTTCTTTTTACAAGATTTCATCCTAGAATCTAGGGTTTTCATGGTGGAATAGGGAATTTTGGGTAGAACTTAGGAATATCAAAATTTGGGGATTTAGACCTCAAATTGAGGTCGGATTCCAAAATCAATTGTATATCCGGGCTCAGGAATCGGTTTTTGGTCCGAATTTCAGGTTTGGACCAAGCGGGCTCGGGGTCGATTTTTGACTTTTTTGGGAAAATCACTAGAAAACCTATTTTCATGCATTAGAATTGGTTTATTTAGCATTTATTAATGTTATTAAGTAAATTGTGACTAGATACAAGCGGTTTGGTGGTGGAATCAAGAGGTAAAGCGGTAGTTGAGGCTTGATTGTGTTCGTGGCTTTGAGGTATGTGTCTGGTCTAACCTTAGCTTGAGGGAATAGGAGTTGTAGTCTTATTTGCTATGTGTTAATTGTTGAGTACGACATATAGGTGTGGTGACGAGTACCTATACGTTGGTGTCAAGCATGCTCGTGAGTCTTACGCTATGACTGAGTCTTATAATATGATTGTTATGACTCCGTTATGTATCGTCCATGCTTAATATGATAATTTCTAATGTTGAACAAGGCTTGTGGAAGTATTCTTGGTAATTGAACACTGAAGAGCATTGGCTCAAGTTGAGAAGTGAGTTGTGAAGTAACTATGGAAAAGAGAAGAGGTCTATGATATGGTTTCCCTTGCCGGGATGCTATTGCTATGATATTGTTTCCCTTGCTGGGATATTATTGTTATACTATTGTTACCTTGCCGGTATTCTATTGTGATTTTATTGATTCCCTTGTCCGAACTGCTTTGTGCTTGTTGCTTGGGTAAGGAAGAGTGTAAAAGCGTGAAGGGTGATGTCGTGCCTGATATTTGTGAGTAAGTGTTAATGCACGAAGGTTGAAGCCATGCCGTTATTGTAAATGTAAAAGCACGAAGGGTGATGTCGTGCCATGATTATGTGAGGTAAAAGCACGAAGGGTGATGTCGTGCCATGATATGAGTGATAATTCACGAAGGATAATGTCGTGCCATGATTATGTGAGGTAAAAGCACGAAGGGTGATGTCATGCCGACTATATTGATTCTTATGGTGAGAGCGAGAGTAAAAGCACGAAGGGTGATGCCGTGCACTTGTTATTGTTCTCCTTATTCTTTTTTATAGTTGAATTTTGGTGTTCCGTATGCTTCTTTATTGAATTTTTGTTTGTACATGATATTCCCCTGAGCATGTTTCCCCGTCCGATCTTTAACTGCTAGTTTCTGTCATTATTATTTGTTGTATATGATATAACTGCACAGGTTTGTTTGGTAGTCTTGTCCTAGCCTCGTCACTACTTCGCCGAGGTTAGGCTCAACACTTACCAGCACATGGGGTTGGTTGTGCTGATACTACACTCTGTACTATGTGCAGATCCCGGTGCTGGAGCATTTGGACCGTAGAGAGGTTGCTGCCTTTAGTCTATTAGGAGACCCGAGGTAGTCTTGCGGTTGTCTGCAGGCCTTGGCATCCCCTTCTATCTTTCCATTCTATTTTTAGGTACTTCAGAGACAGATTTGTATTTATCTTTCAAACCACTTTTTGTAGTATTCGTAGATAGTCCGTGACATTGCGACACCAAATTCTGGGTAGAGTTGTATTGTTGGATTTCTCTTGTACTAGCATTTGGTTAACCTATTAGATTTCGTCTTCTGCATTCCTGTTTATTATGATTATTTCAATGTTGATCACATGTTAATTCGTAACTGATAAAGGGAAAAGGGTAATTATATCTATAATACTCGGCTTGTCTAACTTTTACGAGTAGGCGCCATCACGACTCCCGAGGGTGGAAAATGTGGGTCGTGACACAAGGCGATTGCCTCGACCCATTTGGAGATGTAGTCCACAACCACCAAGATGTAGGTCATGCTATAAGAGCTCACTAAAGGGCCCATAAAGTCTATTTCCCACACATCAAAGATCTCGACCTCCAGTACAAAATTTATAGGCATCTCATGTCTTTTGGATATTAACCATTGTCTTTGACATTGATCGCATGCCTTGACTATTTGATTTGTGTCTTGGTAGATCGATGGCCAATAGTAGCTACATTCAAGCACCTTTGCAGCTATCTGGTTTTCTCCATGATGATCCCCAACCAGAGAATCATGGCATGTTTTGAGAATTGGCATTACCTCATCTTCCGGAACGCACCGCCGAATGAGGTTGTCGGCACAAATTCGGAACAAAAAGGGTTCCTTCCAGTAGTATTGCCTACATTCCCGCAAGAGCTTTTTCTTTTGATAAGTCTCCAATCCATCGGGAATAAGATCACTAAACAAGAAGTTAGAGATGTCGGCATAACAAGGAGCGAATGTGCTAGAAAATGCCAATATGTGCTCATCTGGAAAGGCGTCAAGGTCTTCTTTTAGTCTCCCTACCTCTTCAAGCCTAGATAGGTGATCCACAACTTGATTTTATGTCCCTTTCTGATCCTTGACTTCGAAGTCAAACTCTTGCAACAAAAGGACCCACCGAATAAATCTTGGTTTGTTTTCCTTCTTCGCTATAAGATAGCGAAGAGCAGCATGATCGTTTTAAACTATCACTATCGACCCCAACAAATAAGCCCGAAACTTTTTAAAATCATAGACAATAGCGAGAAGTTCTTGCTCAGTCACAGTGTAATTCACTTGAGTGCCATTGAGTGTCTTGCATGCATAGTAGACAGGGTGAATGATCTTGTTATGATGTTGGCCAAGCACCACCCCAATAGCTACACCACTAGCATCACACATGAGTTCGAATGGAAGAGACCAATCGGGTGAGACAATAATAGGTGTCGTGGTGGAATTTTCTTTCAATTACTCAAAAGCCTATAGACACTTCTTATCAAATAACAAATTTGAATTTTTTTCAAGGAGCTTGCACATGGGATTTGCAATTTTTGAGAAGTCCTTGATAAAACGACTATAGAAACTGGCGTGTCCCAAAAAGCTTCAGACACCTTTTACTGAAGTGGGTGGAGGAAGCTTGAAAATAATTTCGATCTTTGCCCAGTCAACCTCTATGCCTTGTTTGGAAATTTTGTGGCCCAAAACAATGCCCTCATCCACCATGAAGTGGCATTTCTCCCAGTTTAGCACAAGGTTTGTTTCTTCACATCTTTTAAGCACTTGTCTAAGGTTGTCAAGACAATGCTCAAGGAATTACCCACTACAGAGAAGTCATCCATAAACACCTCTAAGAAATCTTCCACCATGTCCGAGAATATTGACATCATGCACCGTTGGAAAGTAGTCGAAGCATTGCATAGCCCAAATGGCATACGGATAAAAGCAAAAGTCCCATATGGGCATGTGAATGTCGTCTTCTCTTGATCTTCCAAAGCGATGTTGATTTGGTTGTAGCCGGAATACCCATCCAAGAAGTAATAGAATGACCTTCCCGTTAGTCGATCAAGCATTGGATCAATAAAAGGCATAGGGAAATGGTCTTTGCAAGTCACACTGTTTGGCTTCCGGTAATCCATGCAAACTCTCCATCCGGTCACTATTCTCATTGGGATGAGCTCATTTTTGTCGTTTCGAATCACGGTCAGGCCTCCTTTCTTTGGCATACATTGCACCAAACTCATCCAAGAATCGGCAATCGGTTAGACCACCCCTGCATCTAACCATTTGATGATTTCTTTCTTTACCACCTCTTGCATGGAAGGATTTAACCTTCTTTGATGCTTCACACTTGGTTTGCTCTCTTGCTCTAATTATATCTTGTGTTCATAAATTCAGGCAGGAATCCCTCGGATGTCCACTATTGTCCACTCAATAGCTTGCCTATGCTCTCTCTAGACATTCAATAGTTGTTCTACATGCACATCATTCAACAAAGAAGAAACAGTTACCGGTAGAGTGTCATTAAAGCCAAGAAATTTATACCTCAAGTGCGGTGGAAGTGGCTTGGATTCAAGTTGCGGCAACTCAATAATTGAAGGCTTGGCGGGAGGAGTGACTCTATTCTCTAAGTCAAGAGAAAGTTTCTTTGGAGCATAAGTGTAGGACCCAAGTCCTTCTAATGCATTCATCGATTCCATATATCCCTCTATGTCTTCACCATCAAACTTTACCAAAATAGTCGCTAATGCCTCACCAAGGCATTGTTCTTCAATCTTCATTTCAATTGCGTCTTCTACCTCACCAATAACATCAATGACTGAGATGCTTTCATATGCATGTGAAATCTTCATACCCTTGCTCGCTTGGAATGTAACCTCTTCGTCATTAACTCAGAACTTGATCTCATTTCATTCTGAATCCATAAGTGCTCTTCCGGTAGCAAGAAATTGTCTCCCCAAGATGATAGGGATCTCTTTGTCAATAGCACAATCAAGGATCACAAAGTCGGCGGGGAGGAGGAACTTTCCCACTTTCACAAGCACATCATCAACAATTCCCACCGGTCTCTTTAATGAACGTTTGGCCATTTGCAACCTCATACTTATAGGCCTCGGCATATCTAACCCCCCTTGCTTGTAAATAGCAAGAGGCATTAAATTTATGCTAGCCCCATTATCATAAAGAGCTTTTGCAAAATCGCGCCCCCTAATAGTACATGGAATGGTAAAAGCTCCCGAGTCTTCTTTCTTTTGAACGGTGGTAGTTGCAATGATGGAACTAACCCGGTGAGTCACATTTACCACTTCATTCTTGGTGATCAAGTCTTCCAAATACTTAGTAAAACCCGACATCTCTTGAAATGCTTCCACAAATGGAATATTTACAGATAATTGCTTGAGAATGTCATAGAATTTCTCGAGTTTGCTATCATCAACCTTCCTAGAAAGTATTTGAGGGAAAGGAGGAGGAGGAGGTCTAGGAATTGGTTCTAGAATTTTTGGAGTCTCTTTCACCTTTTCCTTAACCTCTTCCCGGTTCACTTCTTGAAGTTTCAACTCTTTCGGGACCTTTTTAGCTTCAACAACAATTGGCACTTCAACTTGTGCCTCAACTTCTTGTTCGGAATCTTCCACTTCGACCATTTGTTCGTTCTCTCCTTGAAGTACTTTCCCACTCCGAGTTGTAATTGCCATACAATGAGAAGTTGGATCATTCCCACCACATTTTGGGTTTTCAATTGTGTCACTTGGGAGTGTGCCCTTTTGCTTCGGATTTTTCTCTCTTGAGAGATCTCTTATTTGCATCTCCAACTTTTGAATAGATGCAGTATGAGAAGCGACAAGCTCAATCATATTCCTCATTGAAGTGTTGGACCTATCTTGATTTTGCAGTACTCACTCAAGCATGTTTTCCAATTTGGTATCACTTGAAGAACCTTCCTTCCAATGCGAAGAGTTGGAATATTACCATTTTGGTGGAACATAAGGGTTTGAACTCCGATTTAAAAAGTTGTTGTTGTTGTTACTCCAATTCCCTTGATTTGAACTACCTTGGTCATTTCGCCATTGTTGGCTGCCTTGCCCTTGCGGGTCAGGCCTCCATTGGTTTTGTTGTCCTGAACCTTGGTATTGTTGCCTTTGATATCCTTCTTGAGAGTTGTTGACATAATTTTCTTCCTCATAATCTTCATTTGATGTGGGTTGAACATCTTCCACCACATTCACCATTTTTGTTTAGCTTTCAGTGAACATCTTTGTCAACATATTGACGTTGGTGGCAAGCCTGGTAATTACTTGGTCTCTTTCTTGGTTCTCCTTAATCATGTTGGTCAAGGAAGGAGTACCATATTCAATTCCACTCGTGGTGTCCTCTGAGTGCCAAGATTAGTTATATTTTACCATTTTGTCAAGGATTTGTATGATCCTCGCAAATGTTTTATCCATAAAAGATCCATCAGCTGCATTCTAGACTATAGATTAGTTCATAGCATCCAAACCCATGTTGAATTTCTCCAACAAAATAGAATCTGGAAAACGATAATTCGGCGACCTCACCAAATATAACTTGAATCGATCCCATGCCTCATGTAGATGTTCTCCCGATAGTTGCTTGAAAAAGAAAATATTATCTCGGAGCTCAGATTTCTTGCTTTGTGAGAATCATTTAGCTAGGAATGATCGGACAAGTTCAGGCAAGAATGGATGGAATTTGCTGGTAGATTTTGAATCCATTTTCTTGCCTCTCTAGTCAGTAAGTACTTGAATACCCTCAATATTAAGGCATCATCTGAGACGTTGTTCTGCTTGTGCATCGCACACACAACTAAGAAGTTTATGAGATATTGTGTCGGATCATCATCGGTGGAATTTCTGAAAAACCCCTCTGCTTTGAGCATTAGGATTAAGCCGTATTCCACCTTGAAAGTGGTAGCGTCAACTCTCGGAGGTACAATAGAATTTGTATCCTCAATGTACTCATCTATGTCCGCAAAAGGATTCTCTTCTTCGTCATATTTGGCCATGTTTTCCTATCAACACCAAGCAAAGAAGCAAAGTGTGATGGAATAGAAGAAGACGTAAAGTAAAGAACACACCAATTAGTAATTTTAAAATCATATTCCCCGGCAACGGCGCTAAAATTTGATACGCTCAAATTACACTTTAATTAAATAGTGTAAGGCGGTCGGTGTCAAATATAACAACCCAACAAGGTTGGGGTCAAATCCCACAGGGAATAGGTGTGAAATGTTTACTTGAGTAGTGTGAAACTTGACTTAGGTCGTAATTCTATTCCTTTAGCTTAACAAGAGAATGATATAGTTGTGAATTAATAAGATGCTAATTTTGTTATGAGAATGTGAATAATTTGATTAAGGAAACCAAGGTTGTGTCTCCGTCAATGAAATATAATGCTATAGGTGTTAATATGATATATTTTTAACGGAAGGTGCTTTTATATACAAATGGTTTCTACATGACTACCCAGTATTTCCTAATGGTTGGGTAGTACTTTCTCTTTATAATTTTTTCAAATATAAAAGAGTTGCAATTAAGAACAACCAATTTATGCCAAGTAGAACCCACTTATTCCTAAGCGATTCTATTAAACAAGATTTAAGGTCTTGAGTTATTGATACATTTCTACCAAAATCTAACCCACTTTTCCAAGTAAAGAAAGAATAAGATGGAGTAAGTTAATGTTTGCAACCACTAACCATAAATAAAGCACAAGAAATGAATAAATATCAACCAACCATTANAAACTAGCTACTCATGCTAAAATACAAGAACAAAGCAATAAATAAAGTCATAAATCTTACAAAAGTGCAAGAATCTCTCTTCACAAGCTTCCAAATTAATGAAGTATTCAATGCTATCAATGTAGGCCTTTTTTCAGACTTAATGACTCACAAAACCCTAGTTATTCTTTTTATAGTGGATCAAAAGTCGTGGTCAAAATCGAACAAAATTGCCCATGCAGACGACTTCTGCGACCGCATAATGGTCGCAGACCATGTAAGCGGTCCACATAATCTTTGTTTGTGTCGCAGATGTGTAGATCACCAGTCCCAGGAGTACACCATAGATGAATTATGTGGTCCGCATATCTGTTATGCGACCGCATTTTCCCATCGCAGATGTGTTGAGCAACTTCTTCAATTGAAAATGTGCGGTCATTATGCGGCTCGCAAAAGTGTTATGCGACCGCATAATGGGTCGCATATTTTTCTCTTCATTTGGCCAGCAACTTTGCTTCAGCTTGCGGTGATTATGCGGTCTGCATTTGACTTCTGCGGTCGCATACTTGCAGCATTTCTGTCCTTTTGTGACTTTTTGACTTCTTTTCCATATTTTTGGGTCTTCAAGTCTCATGCACTACAAAACAACCAAACTTGATAATAATTAACTAACAATGCATTAAAAACGAGCTAAAAGCTAAGTAATTGGTATCAAATGTGCCGAAATTCTACGGCACATCACTGAACACCCCGTTCATCAAGTCCATAAACATTGCTGGGGCGTTAGTCAAGCCGAAGGACATCGCTATAAACTCATAATGGCCATATCTAGTATGAAAAGTAGTCTTTTGAACATCCGAGTCTCGAATCTTCAACTGATGGCACCTCGATCTCAAGTCAATCTTAGAGAACACCCTAGCACCCTGCAACTGGTCAAACAAATCATCAATATACGGCAATGGTTACTTGTTCTTAATGGTAACTTTGTTCAACTGGCGGTAATCAATGCACATCTGCATATTCCCATCTTTTTTCTTCACAAATAATACTGGTACACCCCAAGGTGATACACTTGGTTTGACGAACCCCTTTGCTAGCAACTCCTCAAGCTGTTCCTTCAACTCTTTCGAAGCCATACGTTACGGTGGGATAGATATAGGCTGGGTACCTGGAGCCAAGTCAATACAGAAATCGATATCATTATCTGGTGGCATGCCTGGAAAGTTAGAAGAAAACACATCGGAGAACTCCTGGACTACTAGCACTGAATCAATCCCCGGAGTCTCTGCGGTAGTATCCCGAACATAAGCTAGATAAGCCAAACAACCTTTCTCTACCATGTGTCGAGCCTTTAGAAAAGAGATAACCCGACTATATGTACTGACAGATGAACCATTCCACTCCAATCTAGGAAACTCTGGCATCGCTAAGGTAACAGTCTTGGCATGGCAATCAAGGATGGCGTGATATGGGGATAGCCAATCCATGCCCAGGATGACCTCAAAGTCGGTCATATCAAGTAACAGAAGATCCTCTCTAGTCTCGTATCCACAGAATATGACCATACAGGACCGATAGATCTGATCCACAGCAATAAAAACGCCAACAAGAGTGGACACATAAACAGGAGTACCCAAAGACTCACGAGGAATATCTAGGAAATAAGCAAACAGAGATGACACATATGAATAGGTAGACCCTGGATCAAATAATACCGAAGCATCCCTACTGCAGATAGAAATAATACATGTGATCACGGCATCTGAGGCCACTACATCTGGTCTGGCTGGAAACGTATAGAACCTAGCTGGAGCGCCGGTTGGCTGGCCTCTACCTGACTGAATAGAAGCTGGCTGACCTCCCCCTGCCTGGCCTCCACCTCTAGGACAGCCCCTACCCGTCTGCCCTCTGCCTCTGGGCGGTCGGACAGCTGGTGCTGAAATTATGGGCTGATGTCCCTACTTTACTACCTTGCCCCGAAGTCTAGGACAAAACCTTTTCATGTGACCCAGATCCCCACACTCTTAACAACCCCTCGGTACTATAGACTGCTGCCCTAAAGTCTGACCTTGATGGCCTGAATACCCCGCTGGAAGAACCCTGAATAGTTGGTGGGCGGTATGAACTCTCTAGCATAGCACTAAAATAGGCATTGGAAGAATCCTGATGGCCTGAATACCCACTGGAAGAACCTTGAATAGCTAGTGGGCGGTAAGAACTCCCTAGCATGACACTAAAATAAGGTTGCACTGGAGCACCCCGAGGAGATGGTGGTGCTAGATATGTGGGCCTGCTATGCTGACCCCTCCCAAACTGACTTCTACCCCCAGCTAGGGCACCTCTAAACTCTCCAGAAAAATGGAACAGTTTGTCCCGCTGCATCTGCTCTCTACCTCACCGATGATAATCCTCAATCCTCTGGGCTATCTCCACCACTAGCTGATAAAAAGTTCCCATCTCAACCTCTCGCGCCATACTAGCCTGAATAACGGAGTGTAACCCCATAACAAACCTCCGCACTCTCTATACATCAGTAGGAAGTATCATAAGTGCATGGCGAGACAACTCAGAGAATCTCGCCTCATAATCGGTCACTAACATCTGACCCTGGTGGAGCTTCTCAAACTAACATCGCAATTCTTCCCTCTAAGAGGGTGGGATATACCTATCCAAGAAAAGGCGTATAAACTGGTCCCAAGTCATAGGAGGATAACCTACTGGCCTACCAATAAGATAAGACTTCCACTATCTACGAGCCCTGCCCTCTAGTTGAAAGGTAGTAAAATCCACCTCGTGAGACTTTAATATACTCATGTTGTGCAGTCTGTCCCTACACATATCAATGAAGTCCTTGGATCCTCATGACGCTCACCCCCAAAGATAGGAGGGTGAAGCCTGGTCCATCTATCCAGTAGCTTCTACGGCTTGCCGGTCGCAGCTGATCTAGGCTCAGGTACAGCTGCTACCACTAGCTAGGCCTCGCCCATGGGTAGTGTACCCGGGACTGACATATGGTAGCTGCATGCTTAGGGGCCTGAGTAGTAGGGGTCTGTGCTCCTTTCCCGCATGAGATGTGGCTGGGTATGCTGGAAATAAACCAGCTTAGGTCATAAAATCCATGAACCATAGCATACGACCAATAACCTCCTGGAAGTCCGGTGATGACATGAAATCTACCGGTGCTGGCTCTGCTGCAGGGAACCTTGACCTGCTCCTCAATAATAGGATCCTCTATTGGTACCGTTGGTGGTACAGCTAGAGAAACTATGGGACGTCCTCGTCCCCTACCTCGGTCTGGTGTCCTCCCCCAGCCTCTTCCTCAGCCTCTCGCAGCAGAGGGAGCAACTCTTCCCAGGGAACGTCTGTCGTACACGTTCTGACCATTTGTAAGAGAATAAGAGAAATACACTTAGTATAACATCAACTGCACGATAGGAGATGAAGAAATAGTAGTTTCCTAACACCTTATAGCCTCTTGAAGATAAGTAC